AGGGACAGACAGACAGACAGACAGACAGACAGACAGACAGACAGACAGACAAACAGACAGACAGACAGAGGGAGAAAGAAAGAGAAGGTGTGATTGATGGCATTATCTTTTGCTCAGCAAGGAATTCGTAAGGGGCAAAATGAAATAAAACAAAACCAGGAAACTTCTGTTCAGAAGGAAACAACGTAGACATATCTGACAATAGGAAAGCCAAGTTAGCCTTCGAGTGGCCCTCTATCATTTCATAATCAACTCGACGTGCTACTGGTGGGAAGATGAGGTCGAGGGGTGGGGGGAGGTGGTATGAGACAGCCTCATTTTTCGTGACTCTTTGTCTCTCGGGCACTATTAGCTGGAATAGTACGGGGTTTTTTTTTCTCAGATAACCATAGGGAGAAAGGGATTACTACGTACTGGTGGAATTGTGTTTACGTATGTTATGATCCTGGGGGAACACTGTAAATCTGATGGCAGAACTATTGGACAAGATCTATTTCAATACACAAGGGGCAAAGATGGGAAATAAAACATATATGAAAGAGAGAAAACGGGAGATATATATGTATTATGGTATTTCTTCGCGCTTTGGAAGGGGGAAAGGGGATACACATTACCCTCCGTCCCCTTGGATTCGTTCGATTGGAGGCGCACCATCGATTGATGTTCCTGCCCACACACAATGTTACTGTAATAAAGTTGGCGCCAGCCCTTTCCAAACTACATACTGTATACCAATTTCTTTACGCGCGCTAAGTGCATTCACGATTTTTGCAATTTTTATAGAACTTTTAGAATTTAAGTTCTTCGCGAAATGTTAAAAGGGCGCTACTGCTTTGGAACACATGGCATTGGGTGACTTAAATCGAAACATTCGTGAGAAACGAAATTGGCAAAACGCGGCGTGGGGAAAAAGGAGTACGGACAACATTTCCTTCCGGTATACCATAAATCAAGATTGATCAGCGTAAAACCATAATTGCCTATGAAGAAGAAAGTTAAACCACTAGCTGGCGCCTGCACACAAACAACTTGAATCGGATTTGAACAAAGTTATGACAAAAGAGTTCAAACCCAACACCAAACAGATGGTCACTCTTCAAACACTCAGTCACAGTAAAATAGAAGAAACTCAGAATCTCGCCACTGCAACATGTTGGATTCCAGATTTGCCTTAGAAGTCCCCCTCCTCTCTTTTTAAAAATGTTCTACAATTAAATTTGAGATCTCTTAATTCTTAACGCTGATCGTTGGTTTTCTCTGTTTATTCCACATTATATAAGCTTGCTGTTTTGAGGTACATTGTAATATAGAGTGCTCTGTTTTCAAAATGACAAAAATTATGTATAGTAGGGTGGTTGGCGGGTGCTCCTGGTGTGTTTTGCTCCCTCTTTCCTATCAAACATCTACCGCCCTTATGTCTCCTTCATTTTTGGGTGCGTTACTCTTTTGTAATATTTCTAATCTTCGGCATGACCTTAATGTGCTGCAAGTGCCGTAAAACTCAAACTAAAAAAAAGTAAATGAATTTTAACAATAACAAAAAAAAAAAACGCGAAAAAAGACAAGGATATCTCTTTTTTTCCTCACCTGGAAGTGTGCTTTCGTCTGATCCTGCCGACCCAACTCAGCGTCTGTAGCAAGGGAAAGAACGATGAAGTATTATTGAACTACGTTTTATTTCCCCTTACTAGAAATCTGTCTTTATCATGAGTGCAAAAACTTGAGCAAGATTACTCTTTTTAACTCAGTTTATGCCAGATAAGCCTTCGAAAAGAGTACAAGAAGTGCATGTTCTAATTACAGGATTGTGTATTTGTGTGAATATATGTGTGTGTGTATGTGTGTGATGTGTGTGTGTGTGTGTGTGTGTGTGTGAGCGCGCGTGTGTGCGCGTGCATGCGTACGTGAGTATGTATTTGTGTATGTGTGTATGTATGTGTTTGTGTGTGTGTGTGTGTGTGTGTGT